CCCCCCCCGCGATTCTCGGTCGGCACCACCTTCCCCGGGTCTCTAGCCCCTCGCTCCTGGGCATTCCCCCTCGGCCTCCCTCCGCTTGGTAAAAAGTGAGTTTGGTGTGTGTCGTTCGCGTGGCTGTCATTAAGGCAGTCTGTTATTGTGCGAGGCTGAATCAGTGGCTCTTTGTGCGCTCAGCTGTATGGTAATGCAGACAGCACCTGCTCCCCGCACAATGCAGAGAGAAAGAGCTCCCCTCCGCGCGCGCTGCGGCCTCTGCAACAATGTCCGGCACATGTTCTAAAGACCCTCCAGCCCCGGCCCCTCAACCCACAACCTTTACACAACCGTCACCTTATTAGGTTTTTACACGTCCATCAGACACTAGAACTTTTGTTTTCATTTTTTAAAGGGAAATGAGGTTATTGGGAGGGCCGAGAACACACATATCACACAATGAATTATCTAAATTACTCTCATACTTAACGCGCAGTGGGGAAATAAGTTGGGGCATAAACTCCTAGTGTGGCATGTATCTGGGTGCAGGGCACCCGCGCTCTCTCCTCCCTCCTCCCAACTCCTCCTGGGCCTCCCCAGCACCTCTGGTGCAGTGTAGGAGTGAACATCCCTCAGGTGGAAGCAAGTCCTCCCTGCAGGCTTGTTACAACTAACTTATTGGAGAAGATAAGCACTGTTAAGGAAAAATGTGGCTTTCGTCCAGGCAGATGTGATCACAAAATATGTAATGTACAGAAAGAGAGGAAATCTTCAAACACCAAGCAAAATGACTGGGAACAGCCATCTGAAAGCCCTTTGGTGAAGTCATCCATGGCAGCCTCTCTGAGGACTAGCCAGCTGCCACCAACATTCCATGGCTTCTCCTCAGGGGGCCTAGCCTGTCTTTTGCTACCTGGTCTCCCAAATACCTGTCAAGTTTTAGGGTCAACAGAAATGTACACTTAGATTTTTCATTGCTGCCTCATGGAAAAGCAAAGAGTTAACTAAAAGTAACATGCACATAAGGTGCAAAGTTTAAGCCTGGAGGTGAGAAAGGGCTTGGACACCACCATGAACCCCTACTGTTTGGTTCAGAACAAATGGAGTCTTCAAAAGATGTTGCCACTTCCACGAGGGGTGGCAACCTCATGTGGCTGTCCTTCGCAGACTCCCCAGGGACTGGGTACCTTTTCCAGGGAGGGTGGGGCTAGCTCAAATCCTAATTTAACCTTGCCACTCAGTGTCAGAATGCTTTTTTCTCTACATCCATGTTCCCTCCAGAAGCTAATTTCTAAGAATTCTGCTCCCTACAGCACAGGAGCTATTCATGTGGGGGGTTGGGAGGACGTGGGTGGGAGGGTTCCAGGAGTAGAGGAAATGCAGAAGAAAGAATGTGAGGTCCAAATCCAGAATCCTCAGTGCCTGTGAGATTGAGCATAGATTTCAGTAAGAAATGAAATATCAGGAACCTTTTAATTAGAAATTGGAAGTGGAAAACAGACTCATTTGAATGGGTGTTTAGAAAACTGGAAATAAAAAGTTCCATGCGCAAGAGCTTAAACCTTAGGGGGAAAGGACTTGCCCAAATCTTTAACAAACCCCCTCAGTATCAAGTATTTGTTAAATTGACACGGCACAGATTTCTCGATTACAGTGGCAAAGCGGAACTGAAAGGCATCGTAAAATCCATCAGAATCCTGCCCAAAGCGTTCATTCTTTTCCAACTTAATTTATGCCACGCGATTCTGTATTGGGGAAATCAAGCAGAAAGCCCTTTTCTTCTTCTCCCTCTCCTTCCTCCTCCTCCCGTTCTTCCCTTTTTTCTTTTTCCTCTTCTTCTCCTCTTCTCTTCCTCCTTCCTCCTCCTTCTCCTTCTCCCCCCTGGATTTTCCCCACCCCCAAGTTGGTTTCTTTCCTTTTCTCTTTCAAAAGCTGAGCTAACGGGGAGACTGTTTAACTCCAGTGTTTCTATAGGAGGCTGTTGTAGTTTAACTCCTGCGCACCAGCAGCTAAGATGAACAAAGGAGAGACTCGGGGTCCAACTATTCATCCTTTCTTTGCACTTTAATTTTCATTGATTGGGAAGACAAGGGGAACCCTCAGGGATTCGAGCTGGAGGGGAGGACACGCCTTTAGACGCCATCAGCCCCCTGGCCAGCCATCTGCTCTGAACCAAATGGCGTTTTTTCACTCCTCAACTGCATGTCTCTATACTTCCACAACCACGCACTCTGAACCCCCTAAATGCAGGAGGGAGCTTTAAGCTAGAGTGTGTTAAATAGACTTGCGAGATATTGGCGCAGCCACCACAATCCCTCCTCCCCTCACACCATAAATCCTCACCTTACTCATTAGTAAAAAGCAGGAAACTTTTGTTTAAATACTTTTTGATGTCTCAGCAAATTTACTGTACAAAGTGAGGCTCATTAGGGCTTAAAGACACCCAATACATCAGACCCAGGAGTGGGAGGAGGAGTCTGCTGCCCAGTGGTAATGGTTTATATTTTTCCAGGCAGCACAACCCATGGACAGGATAACTTCAGCGTCCAGGGTAGGCTCAGGCTGTTGATAACCAGAGTCACAACCAAGACAACAGCACCACGAGTTCTGCAGGTGCCTCCTTATTTCCCATTTTCTAAGCCACTTGGGGATAAAAGCTCACAGCTTTCTTATCAGATTAAACATGCCTATCCTCAGCAGGGTGAGTGTTACCTCATACTGTGGTCACCCAATGCTATTCCACCCCCTTCACCAAAAGAAAGGTTCTATTCTCAAGGTCCATGATGGTGGCTGTGGTGAGGAGGAGGCCTGGGCAGGTCGCAATAAACAGCTCAGAGCAGGCTGCAGACTCTAGGCCAGCCACAGGTTCAGTTTTCTGTGTAAACAAGTCTGGAGACTTGAGTGGGGTTTGTGTTTTCCCAGACCAACTGAATACTGTATACCCAACAGAGAGGTTCTCTTATTCCTCAGAAGAATTAGGGTCCTTGTTCCGAACAACAAAATAAAAAACTTCCAGGCAGCAAATCTGGTGTTGACCAAACATGCCAGCTTACTTGAAAAAAAAAAAAA